GAAAACCCCAAAAACAAAACCAATCATACATGACACAACAACTTCTATTGTTTGGCCATTTCCTAAAACACCATGTTCCATCTCGTTCCATATTATCTGACTGATTCACCGATACTTTTCTTTTTAATACTGAAAAATATCTCGAGTTCAAACCGTCATTCCAGTTGACAAAAATAATAAACTACATAGCTTCACATAGATAACTAGTTGCTGATTACTCTATCAGAATTCCACCATTAAAAACAATAATCATCAGCCTAATTACTTGGGTTTGGAGTTTGTACCGTTGGTTGATTGGTTCAGTTCAAATTTCACAAATAGCCAATGCATCTAAAAACTATAGGACTATTTTGTATTAATTAGGGTTTAGAAAGCCTCCCTTTAACATGAAAGGTCACGGGAATGTAATCAGGCAACTCTCTTTTGTTTTTGGACAACAAATGAGCTAAATTCTAAAAATAATCACTAGAGTCTAAATTCAAAAGATATTTAAAAACAAATTATTTGATCAGGACGGTTTTCTTTCCATAAATTACCAATTTTTTTATTTTATTTTTACAAACGATATTATGTATATTAAGGAAAGAAGGTGATTTTAGCCTCACAATGAGCTAACAGTAATGTGGTTCAAATTCGTCTTTAACGAGAATCGAATTTAAGACCTCTCATTTACTAGTGAAGAAAAATATCACTAAATCGTAAAATTAAGTGGTACCAAATAATATTTAAAAACAAACTATTTGATCAGGAGAGTTTTCCTTTTGTAAATTATAATAATTTAGAATACAACCTGGAAAAAGGACATAAATTGATTACCATCATTCCTCTTATAATCATTAATCGATAGTTAACATGAACAATTAAATTATATCCCCTTTAATTACCACCAAGGGTTACATGAGTCATAGTCTAATTGATTAGTGGGTGGCAAAAAGTAGCCAAATGAGAGATTTTGAATGCAGTCACAGGAGTCCTGCAAATTGGCAAAAGTACTGTACCAATAAATGAAATTAATAAATCTTCACCAACTTTGTTTCCTTTTTTAGAGATATCATAAAGAATGCATGTTTTCGAGAAATTTTTCAATATGCTGAGAATATAGTCTGGTACACTAAGTGTCATAATATAAGTGGTTGAATTTTTTTTTAAGTATCCAACCACTTGTATTATAACACTTAATGTACTGAACCATGTTCCCAGTACACTGAAATATTTATAGTACTTGTTATATAGTTTGAACTTTGAAAATTTAAATTTTAACCCACCGCTCAGGTACTCTTCACTTTCTGGGAAATTGAACATTATGTCAAAGTTTTTAAATAGGCATCACTGGCACTTTCATTGGGCAAAATTGAAAAGTCAAGTTAAAGTCAGCTTTCCATCCAAAGTTTTTGAAAAAAGTTAGCTATAGATCGATGGTTGTATTGCGTTTATTATGTTTTAGTACTGCACAATACTTTCGTGTGACAGTGTAATACATGAAGACTTTCGAGAATTTAATAGGGAGATGGATTTTAAATTCATAGTATAGTTCCAATTAATTTTAAGGGTGTAATATCCACACACTTCTTTTTATTTTTTTCACGTCTTTTAGGTTTTCGACCGTCGAATTAGATGAATTGAAAAAGATCAACGGACAGAAATTAACAAGAAATGTGTGGATAGCACACTCCTAATTTTATAATGATTAGAACCCTTCCACACACCCCTAATTTTATAGTGATTAGAACCCTTCAACCCAAGTATCTTCACATGAAGCAAGCAAGCCAACTCAACATTTTCAAGTTCGACGTGATATTGCTGCCATAAAAGAATGGAAGTGACACGAAACCTTGTCTCTAAGTGGGTTTCGACTGCCCTTCAATTAATTAAGAGAGCTATTATTGATACTTCAAAATAGTTATTATGCAATTCTCTTCAGATTACGTTATGTGTCGAACATGAATCTTATAGATGCCAGAGTCATTTGCTTGTCTTTTATGGCACATATATACAGCAACATTTGTGCTTCGCGCCATAAAAGTACTTGCATTTCCTTCTTAAGCTTGGGTATTTGGCAAATTTCAGGTACATGAAAAAAGGCCCTAACTGAAAAATGGGTTGTCTTTGTTGGGCTCCTTTGCTTGGGTTTGGATTAGTTAATTGCGAGAAATTTTGTTTACATCTATAATTTTTTGGGGCTTTTAGATTCAGGTCTAAAAACATAGTATTTTTAGGAGTGTATCCAGTTATCTAATTATATGTTTTTATTTCTTTTATACTTATTTAATATTTTCTAAAAATATTAAAAATCAATTAAAATATTTTAATATTATGCATTTTCCAACTCCAAAATATCTAATTAATATCTTATAACAAAAAAACTAATATACTAACATAAATCTATATGCAAAACATTCTACCCTAACTTAAGTAGCAAATATATGAATGTATATTATACCTATAAATGAGATATGAAACCTAACTAAAAGGTAGAATAAACATAATATACCTACAAGCATGACACATTAAATCTGTCATATAGGTAGATAAATACAATTAACATGTGATATAGGTTGATTATAAAAATTAAAATAAAATCTATAAATGGGTTAAAGTAGAAGGAAGAGCAGGAAATAACAAATAAATAAATAAAAAGAAACAATCAAAGAGATAATTAGGAAGAAATTTGATTTTTACAATAAATTTTTTCATTGAAGAGATAATTATTGATAATAAAATAATTAAATTTAAGAAATTGGACTTATTTTAATAATCTGGACTATTTGTTACATCTCACATCGCCTAGGGGAGTGGATCATGTAAACCTTAGATGTATATTCCTATTTCTACCTAGCATGAAGCATTTTGGGAGCTCATTGGCTTCGGGTTCCATCGGAACTCCAAAGTTATGCGAGTTCGCGCGAGAGCAATCCCATGATTTGTGATCCACTGTGAAGTTCTCGTGTGAGTTCCCAGAAACAAAACCGTGAGGGCATGGTCGGGGCCGAAAGCAGACAATATCGTGCTACGACGGAGTCAAGCTCAGGATGTGGTGGGGGTCTGGGCCAGGATGTGACAATTTGGTATCAGAGCTAAGCCCTGGGCGGAAGTGTGCCGACGAGGACGTTGGGCCCCTAAGGGGGATGGATTGTTACATCCCACATCGGTCAAGGGAGTGGATCATGTAAACCTTATATGTATATTTCCATCTCTATCTAGCATGAGGCTTTTTGGGAGCTCACTGGCTTCGGGTTCCATCGGAACTCCGAAGTTAAACGAGTTCACTCGAGAGCAATCCCATGATAGGTGACCCACTGGGAAGTTCTCGTGTGAGTTCTCAGAAACAAAATTGTAAGGGTGTGGTCGGGGCTCAAAGCGGACAATATCGTGCTACGGTGGAGTCGAGCCCGAGATGTGGTGGGGGCTTGGGCCGAAATGTAACACTATTCCTACCATTGACTCAAAAAATTGAACTCATATCAAGTTTCACCTATAATTTTTTTCTCTTAATTACACTACCACTGCAACATCCAATTTTCCCTTCCTTCCCCTCTTCCTCCCAGAGTCTGATTGAGTTACTGAAGATCGTTTAGCTTTGATTATTTTTCCTTTTCCCTAAATAATTTGTAGCTTTAGGTTATTTAGGAATATTTTAAATTTCAGTTGGGTGTCCAAAGAAACTTGAAATTCAGGTGAAGGCTCGCAAAAAACAAAAGGCGTCCGAAGATTAAATTTGGATGTTACGCCCAATTTTTTTGCCCTTTGTTAGGGTTTGTTGGGCATGATTCTGGAATTTTTTTTTAATTTTTAATTTTTTGATAATTGGACTTAATTAGTGGAATGTTTTTCTTGTATTCACGTTCTTAGTTAATGGAATATAGAATGCTTAATTATTTGGTGGAGCAATTGGAACAGAGTTTCACCATTATTTAAACAAATTTTAATTCCTTGGCGTCAAATTTGGCGACCCAGAAGAGTCCTAATGGTTGACTTTGTTAGATTAGAAGCCTGCCGCCAGTTGTTCTTCTGGTGAAGCTCCTTTAGACATCGAAATTAAAATGGTGGTTCGTGTTGTGGCCATCACGTCTTTCAACTTTTAAATAAAAAAAGCCAGAAAGAAACAGTCGGAACACTTCCATAATTTTACACACTAATCTTTGCGTGTAAAGCACTGCAGAACCAAATGATTACAAGAAGCAAATGAAGCAATAATCATGTGTTTACTTACACATGAATCATGATACCATAACTGCAAGGTTTTCTTTTACTAAACATTAATGGTTCGTGAGATTTGAACTCGGTACTTTTTTCCAACAAGGTGCAAATCGATGCCCACTTGATTCACTTGGTTGTAGGCTTTAAAGAAGTGAAGTTGAGCGTTTTGTTTTTCTTTTAAGGTAAATGTCATTCGTGATTTTTAAACTTAGAATATACTTCAACAAAGTAAAGACTAAATGCCGCTAGATCAAATAATCATATGTAAGTTAGAGCGAACTTAAAAATATGATTCCCAAACCACATGGGATGACACAAATGAGATTTTTTTTAATGTAACTGTCACTCTCGTGCATTGTATTATCAATTCACAAATATTGTAACATATTATTAATTTATTTATTTAGCTATACCATGTTCTACAATATAAACTTGTCCACCTATATTAACAACCCGTCAATTAATAACATCACGTGACATTAGCGTTACACCATTTTGCCATGGGGTGATTGGAAAATACCAAAGAGCACATAAGGGATTTGCCCTAAGACTTGATACTTGGGAGTAAACTAATCATTATTAGCAAAAACCAGTCAAATTAGCTTTAGAATTAGTGATGATCATTGCTTGTCAAAAATAGTAATGTACAACCACCGGCTGTCCATTTTTACCGTCAAAACGCGTAGATTGAGAGTATAGAAACTGTTAATCAAAATGGTCACCAATCCCTCTATAAAAACAAACTTTAAAAAAAACAAAAAAAATTAATTAACCACCATTCATCCAAGAAACACAATCAGCCCCCCCCCCCCCAAAAAAAAATCACTAATCTAAATTAAGTCAACCCCAAGAAACACAAACACCATTAATCTTATTAATTCACCTTAATTACGTCAACCCTACATTTTGTTTTTGTTTCTCCAAAACTTATGCACCCCACGTTCTTTAGCTGCAGAAACAGAAAACTGCACTAATCACCTCTGCTTCTTTTTCCCAATCTCAACAAACTTTTCGAAGTCGAAAAACAAAAGTTCCAAAAAACCCTTTTCATATCTTCTAACATCTCTCAATCCCTCTCTGTTGGGAGAGAAGAAAAACAAACTATCTCCCCTCAAAACCTCTCCTCCTTTCTCCCACACAACAACACCGTTGTTGTTGTTTGTTTCCCAAGAAAGGAAGGTGAAGAAATATTTCGAACTTTTTTATTTCTTCTTCCCAATAATCTCATCGGACTTTTAAGATTGTTGCTGTAACTTTAGATTGTATAATCTAAGGTCTTCGAGTTCCACAATGGTCCGAGCTTTTACATCCCAACAACAAACAATGCAGAAGACAAGATCTTTCCAGTTGAAACGAATGTTTGAGATTCCGAGACACCTTCAGAATTCGACCTTTGAGAATGGGCAGGACGGCGAGGGAGATAGGGATACCGCTCAGTTACTGAGTCCCAAGACTACACCAGAAGGCGGCCCGGTGGGGACACAAGGAATGTGGGGACCTAATCGCGATAAGGGTGTAGCTTCCGGTGCAGATGAAGGCGAAAAGATGAAGAGTCCTAAATCCAAGAGGCCTTCAGGTAAATATTTTGCTGCATATATACTTTTTACATGCTATATATATTTCTTGTCAGTTGTCAAAATGCTAGCTAGATTAAAGATCATCTGAATAATTTGTATGAATATTTTTGTGTGTTTAGATATGGAAATGATGAAGGAAAGGTTCTCTAAGTTGCTTTTGGGGGAAGATATGTCGGGTGGTGGAAAGGGCGTCTCTTCGGCGTTGGCTTTATCAAATGCCATAACCAATCTAGCAGGTATAAATTTATGCCTCACAGCAATTGCATTAATATATTTACAAATTAAAATACGAAATCCGATTGAGGGTAATTCTGATTCCGTGTTCTTTGCTTTCTCCTTTGTTTCCATGACAATGCAGCATCTGTTTTCGGAGAACAAAGGAAACTAGAGCCTATGTCTTCGGATGCAAAAGCACGGTGGATGAATGAAATAGGCTGGCTTTTGTCTGTGACAGATCATATCGTTGAATTTGTCCCTTCGCAGCAGAATGGAACAAACATGGAGGTTTTAACTCCCTCTCACTTTTGTCTGTGCCATATATTTTCTCGTAGTTCAAAATTCCAAAACTTGCAGATTCTAATTTTTCTTTCTTTCTAATCTGATAGATAATGGTGACCCGGCAAAGAAATGATCTGCACATGAACGTTCCTGCCCTGCGCAAGCTTGATGCAATGCTTGTTGTAAGTACCTTCATTCCTTACCGACTTCCTGGTTTAGCTAGAGAATATCAGAATTATACACCTTTTGCTAATCGGTTATACAAAACAGGGTCACCTGGATAGCTTTGGAACCCCAAGTGAGTTCTGGTATGTGAAAAAAGGTGCCCAAGATTCTGAAAAGGATAATTCCCAGAGAAATGATGAGAAATGGTGGAAACCCAATGTTAAAGTTCCCCCCGAAGGGCTTTCAGATGAATGCCGAAGGTGGATGCAATCTCAGAAGGACGCTGTGAACCAAGTACTAAAAGCAGCGATGGCCATCAATGCGCAAGTGCTAGCCGAAATGGATATCCCCGAAAACTACATTGAATCCCTTCCCAAGGTATTGCACATAGCACTCTTACTAATTAGTCTCGAAGATTTTGTTTTCGTTATGAACAGAGCGGTTGACTTTATTTTCTTTTGACAGAACGGTAGGGCTAGCCTCGGTGATTCGATCTATAAGAGCATAACAGTGGACCACTTTGGTCCTGTGGAGTTCTTTGACTCCATGGACTTGTCCACAGAGCACAAAGTTCTCGACCTAAAAGACAGGATCGAGGCCTCTATTGTGATTTGGAAGCAAAAGATGAACCACAAGAGTGGAAAGTCTTCGTGGAGTTCAGCCGTAAGCTTCGAGAAGAGGGAGCTCTTTGAAGAGAGAGTAGAGACCATCTTGCTCCTGTTGAAACAGAAATTCCCAGGAATCCCACAATCTGCACTTGACATAAGCAAAATTCAATTCAATATGGTAAAGAGCTAAACTCCAAACATATATTTGCTTCTTGTGTTTGTTAACTTGTTTTCAGATTTAATAACCGCGATTCTTTCATTTCTATGCAGGATGTAGGGTACGCTATCCTAGAGAGCTATTCGAGGGTGATCGAAAGCTTGGCCTTCAAAATCATGTCCATGATTGAAGATGTGCTTTACGCTGATACTCAAGCTCGAAAATCATTATCAAACATGACACATTCAATGGATTCAAGGGAAGACGGAGACGCAACACCAACAAAGACACTGTTTGAGTTCATGGGGTGGAATGCTGAAACCGAAGAGAATGACATGGAGAAGGATAGCTCGGCGGGCAACAAGGAGAGCTACTTCAAAGAAGACAGTGAAAAGATTATGAGCAAACCTCCTGCTAGCATAAACACCAAGAGATTTTCATACTTGGAGAAGCTTGAGAAGTTGAGTGGTCTAAGAAGTCCAACGGCTCGGCATTGATCGGAAAATATTGAAGAATGTAGAGATGACAAAGGAGAGAGAGGGGCAGATAGACAGAGAGAAATACAGAAATACTTCCTAGGATGCTAACTTGTTAGTATTTCTAAGTAGTGTGCTTGTGCTTCCATCCTATTGAAGGATTGGGAAGTCTCTTGGAGTGTTTGTAATTAGTAGGGTTTTGATGCATTTGAGATTTGGGAAGTGCTTTTTCTGATCTTTGCTGGTTTTTAGGAACAACAATAAATGTATTCTAGTTTTTCTCAAAGGCTCTATGATCTTGTTTCCTATTTTTCGTCCGATAAGTTCTGTTCTCGGATCTCAACTAGATTGTAGTTTTAGTTGGTTAAAGCATGTGCCTCCCCCTCTGCAACCAAGTTTGAATCCTCACTCCCGTAGTTTAAATTAGACTATCACTCGAATAAAACTAAAAATGTCACAACTAGACCATAAAAATAAAACATCACCACAAGAACCGCCCCTGCTTTGCTGCCAACCCTTTTCCGGTTGGTGGCAAGAGTCAGACAGAGTCTCCCAGTGAAGAAAAACCTTGTGAAATCGAAATGCCGAATACTTACCAACCAATGCACTCTTCTATGCGAAATTGGCAATGTTGGAGTTAATCCCGTATTGAAAACGTGCTTCCGGATATTGGTGCTTGGTTTGCACTCAGTTTAAATTTTATGCAACCGAAAGAACATAAACTTTGCAGATACAACTCACTATGTAAAATGCAATTTCATTTACACAACCATAACAATCATCCTTAACTACTGAAAAAGAAGAAAGAAGGTTCGGGATAATCTATTGCTATTAGGAAGAGATCAGATCTACACTGTGGTACAAATAGCTGCTTCTCTTTTTTCATACTGTTCTTTTCGCTCGTCTGATGAGCGACAAGATGTCATTACCGTGCCCAGATTTCTTGAGGCGTCCATTATTCTTCCGAGCTTCCTGCAAGACAACACAAGAGACATGCTATAATGGAAGAAGTAGGAGACGAATTAATTGTAGAAATTGTAATGTAACACACTTTTACGTGTGTGCAAAACTCACCTGGAAATGAAAGGTAAGATTTGGGCCTCTAGACAGGATTGAGAGGCCATCACGAACCGGAGCTGCAGTAAAACAAATCGATGTTAAACATTGAGAATGGGTCAGTATATATGCTAATTTATGTTAAATATATATAGTTCATAAAACTATAGAGATCATGTTACCTAAAGCTGAATTGTTTTCGCCCTTGGACAAAGACGGTTTGTGAGACGGTGTGTACAAGAAAAGCGGCATTGCTACATCTCGGTCAGATTCTTGCTTGTCAATGGTTTTATGAGAGGCTGCGTTTCTAGGAATATCCCTGCATAGATCAAATTCATCGAATTCAAAATTTCTTTTGAATGCACAATATCCTGCAGCCAAATAATCTAAAAAAAATTCAATGAAATTATAAAGACAAAAAACTTTACCTCGAATCTTCATTGGGTTTCTCAGCTTCTCTGGTAGCTGATCGCAAAACAAAGAATTAGAAAGTGGGAAAAGTGGAGTTTATGAACATGTTTGCAAGTAGTACAGCAGTTTCGGATTTTACGTGCAGATAAAAAACGTGCATTATGCCGCGGGATAATCTCCCTCCATCGGACTCTAGGCAGGGCAAACTTGTGGCTGTATTGTTCACATAAGAACATCCTCTGACCACAAAGCAAAGTTTACTGTTAGTGGTTAATGCAATTACGAAATAAATGTATTAACTAACATAAGCTAGCTAGATTAATGTAATAAGGTGGTGACAACTTGTTTGAGGCAATCAATTCGAATCTCAGCCTCTGAAAATGCGTTAGCTTCGGAAACGATGCCGTTGATGTTGGCGGAAACGAATCCGAGATGATCAACAACAGTCACCACAGCTCTGCAGATATACTCTTTGGTGTTTTCCATCACTCTGAAAAATTAAAATAAATAGATAAAATGTTGGATTCTTGTTCATGGGGTGAGGGCTAAAATGGTCATTATGTGGAGATATTTGGAAATTAGGTTTGTTTAGAGGACTCACACTTTCTTTTCTTTGGTGTTCAAGAAGGTTGATTCACAGTAGTCAGCAGCATAGTGAAGTTGAGAGCGCAGGTCTCTCAGTTCCTTCAACACACAAACAAAAACAATTCAGTAAATTTGAAAAAACACCCCGACAACTATAAGTTGGTGCCCTTCTCTCGTTACAATGTTGGTTTTTTATTTTCTAAAGTATAGAGTTTGACGTGTTTATCTTTGAAGTTCAATGTTATCAAAAGCTTACATGCGACAAACATTTTGTCCTCCATGTTAAAATAATACAAAAGCAAACAAGAAATATAGACAATAATTATAGGTTATATTTGATAAACATTTTGTTTTTCGTCTGAAAAAAAAAAATAAAGAGAATGCATTAAAGAAAAACTTGGGAGTGAATATACTTAAAATTGTTTTCGGTTTTTAGTTTTTGTTTTGTGTACTATTTCACAAACATTTCTTCCACATCCCTGACATCATTCTTCCTCCGCCACTAAAAACTTGAAACAAAATACAAAATGGTTATAGTTTTAAAGTTGAGTTCAGAAAACGTACCTGAAGAGAGTTATGAAAGCTTCCAATGTCCTTAGACTTTGCTTCTACATCTTGCCCTGAGGAGGGTTTAGAGATGTTCTGCATCTTCTCCTCCATGTTTGGAACGTCCTTAGACTCTGCTTCTGCATCTTGCCCCGAGGAGGGTTTAGAGTTGTTCTGCATCTTCTCATCCATGCCTGGAACTTGGGAACTTAGAGGATGATATAATGGGGGGTGGGGGTAGGTTTTGTTTTGAGCAAAGAAAGAGGTGGAGAATTGTGACTATTCAGGCTCGTGATATGTAGAGAGAGAGAGAGAGAGAGAGAGAGAGAGTGAGTGAGTGAGTGAGTGAGTGAGAGATTCTCGAAGGCACGATCAGCAGCATCAGTGCTATCAAGAAAGAGAAAGATGACAAAAGCTCGGTTTTCAGCCCGTGATTTTGTGTTCGTTTACCATTTTCTTCTGTTTATCTCGTATTTAAAATAAAAAAGCTAAAAGGCTAAAAAGGTGCTAGTGACTGACAAGTGAATCAAGGGTACGATTGCCATGTGCTTTATATTTAAGAGAATATTTTTACTCATCATCTTTAAGTGATGATGATGTTTACCACTCTATTTATTACTGTTAAATAAGTTTAAATTTTGAGATATATATGTTTGGGTTAATATTTGAACATTGGACTTGAATGAGGGAAAGCCCAAATATGGCAATTAAAAGAGGACTTGCCCGAAGTCCAGCATCAAACCCATAAGCAAATTGAGGCTTTCTCAGCTAAGAGACACATGCCACGTGTCTATAATTGAAGTGACAAGTGATGGAGACTAATCTACTATCAGCCAAAAAACACTTTCCAGTGACATTTCTAGTAAAAGTTGATGACTACTACCCTCCAAGTACTTTCGGGCAAGAACAAAAGCTACAGCAATCGGGCTATAAAAGGAAGAAGGGACAACGGGGACAAACACACCCAATCAATCAAACAAACAAACATACAAACTCCGCTTTCAAACCAAATTTGCATCTAAAAGCTGAAATCAACCCATATTCAATCTTTTTTAGCGATAGTTCTCTGAAAAAGCTATCTCTTATCTAGTATAAAAGCTCTGGTATCTCCCTCAATGGTGTAGTATCGATTCCCTTGTGTAAACTTGTTTACCATCCATCCCTTTTTAGCATATAAACCTTGTAAATACAAAGAGAAGTGACTGCAAGAAGTTTAACCTTGCCAGACAATGTGAAATCTTGCCCAAAACTCTTTGTTTGTTTTCTAAATTAGTAGATCTATTGCTTCATGTTTTCTCCAGCATGTATTCAAGTCATTTCACTTATTTTTCTATTTTAAAGAGTCTCATTTGCATCTGGATCCAGTTAGTTTAATGGATATGTTTTCATTAAAGGTGTTGATGTACAAAATCAGTGAGGACTTTGGTATAACAGAAAGTGTTAAGTTTGTGACATTCGCTAAATTGCTCCAGTCACTAGTGTGGATAAGTATGTAAATGGATAGAGACAAGGAAGCAAACACAAGATGTACGTGGTTCACCCAGATTGGCTACGTCTACGGAGTAGAAGAGTTCTCATTAATTGTGAAGGGTTTACACAAGTACATAGGTTCAAGCTCTCCTTTAGTGAGTACTAGTGAATGATTTAGTACAAATGACATTTAGAAATATTGTGAGAGAATGATCTATATTTATATAAGATAGTTTCTAGTTTCATTCTGACATTGACACATGTCGTGTTGTGATTAGCTTATGATGTTGACACGTGTCGCACTATGATTGGCTTCTGATGTCGATAAGTGTCGCACTGTGATTGGCCTCCTGGTTGGAAGGAAACTCTTCTGAGTCTTTGATGGTATAACGTTGATCGGTGCTCAGTAGTTCGGGATTGGTCAAGTATGGTACAAACAGTGCTCTCCTAAGTTCCTGAGTGAGGGAAGCTCATAGATTGGGGACTTGCAAGATCCAAGCCATTGAGTAATCACGAAACTTCTAAGTACCGAAGTGTGGTATCATTTTCACTTGCCTTATCTGTCTCATATGTAGATGTGGCATCTTCTCTGGAAGTACTTTTTCTCCATCCAGGGGTGGTATCTTTAACCGATGAAGATGCACAAGGTAATGTATCAATTTCACTTGAAGCTTACTTGTAGTTTCGGTCTTGGTCAAGTGCGATACAAACCCTATAGTAGGAGTCCCCCAAGTCGTCGAGTTAGGAGATTTGCTGAATGAGGTAATAGATAAGGTAAGCAATCAGACTTCCAAGCAAGCAACCTGGATCGGAGGTTCGACTTTAGCTCTCGGTTGATTGTTCTCATTCTCTTTGTGTCGTAAACAGCAACAAGGATAAGGAGAAGCAAATGGAGAAGAGATGATATGAGATACTTTTGCTTTTGAAGAAGTAACTTTCCACATGCTTATTCTTAAACTGGGCTGGAGGGTTTTCTGGTTTCATCCAGAGTATAAGGCCGACTTAAGAATTTGAGGGTCATAACAAGTCTATCAAATCTAGAGTACGTTCGACCCTGATGATATGTGATACTTTTACTGTTGACAAAGTAGTAGATGTATCGGCACGTGTTCTGTTACGCTTGTCTCCACATGCTTCCTTATATCATTCTTACTTGCCCTATCTGTTCTTCAGGCAGATGTGGTATCTTATCTAGAAGTGTAAGATATTGAAGATGAG